ACTGTGGTAGAAACTGAACATCCTGACAATCAGTGGTGATGTCAAGTTCTGAATCGTAGCACTTCTTCATTTTAAGTGAAATTTGGGGGAGGAAAGTGTTACATTTGTTTTGTTCTTTTTTATGTAGGTTCTGTCACTCCTGTATTGCAGCAAGCTTAAGGAATAATGCATGGACATGTCCTTATTGCCGGACTTATCTTCCTTCCAAAGGCATTCCAGCTACTGATATTGCCAAGAAGATGAAAAGCGTATTTCAAAATTGCACAGAGTGTGAAACACAGGTTTGTACCCTTGAACATCCACAATTGATTAAGTATTTATTCATACATAGGACCAGACAAAATTAAGGCCTCTTTCCTAGCTCTTAACTATACTATCAAAGTTCTGCTGACGTAGGGATGTGAAAAGATCAGACCCTATAGCAGGGGTCAGCAACATTTATGGGCAGAGTGCCAAAGAACTCCACAACCTTGACTTGTAAGTTGTTGGTATGCCAAGAGCAGACAGCAAAGAGCCACAAGGGGCCCAATTTTTGTTGTGGCAGCAAAGCCCCAGCCCCTTCCTCAGCGTCTGCCCCAAGGTGCGCGTGCACCCACTGCTAGCAACAAGCCAGGCTGAGGGTCCACAGACCCCAGTACAGCTACTTGCAGCCTCCCTGCCATCTGCTGCAAGCAGCCTGGGCTCCGTGGCCAGTGGCAGAGACCTGCTAAGAGCCTGGGCCAGCTGTGGCATGCTGAGCAAAATGGCTTCACATGCCATGCTCTGACACACGTGCCAGGGTTTGCCAAACCCTGGCCTGCAGCCAATTAGTTCTACTGCAAAACTCTCCAGTGTTTTGGATCTGCGAGCAGGTGAAGGCTTCTAGGACAGACCTTCTGCTGTTCATGGGAGATAACACAATTGCTGGCAGAAAAACTTCTGCTGGCATAGCTGGGTCTACACCAGGTGGTCATTGTTCTTCAAGCAACAGCGGCACCTGTCATACACGCATAGGCAAAGGTTTGTTTGCACAGGGAAACTGGCATAACAATACAGGAGTTAGGTATTCTGCTATTGCTACATGGATATCTACTGTTATGTAGATTTCTTAATATTTAGCAAAATTTGAGTATTTGTCTTAGCACGTAGTAAGTTACTCATTGCTCTCATACCCTGTCACATCGTATCTGCAATGGTAAATATATTTAACAGAATAAATTAGCTAAATTCTGTTTGTAAAATGACAGTGGACAGTTAGGATACATGATGAGGATGAATATGGAAATGAATTGTGCATTAAATACACTATAATTAGCACATTTATAAATATGATATATCTCTAAGACTATATGTACAACGCAATCTAAAGATAGTATCTGTGTACAATACCTGTATTTAAAATCTTTGTCTCATTTTTATGTTGTTTTCCTTTATTAAAAAAACTAAGATCCTAGTTCACAAAATCTAATAAAGCAAGGTACTGCATTAAAATGAATGGGTCAGATCTTAGGTTAATATATGACCTAGATAGGGACCAGGGTGGATCTGAATGAGGCCTGCTGAGTATGGCCTGTTGTCTCCAAAAATTTTATTTTCAAAATATAAAGTGTTTGGCTAGCAAACAAGGAGGAAAAGCCCTCAAACTGAAAAATCACTGAATTCATTTTACATTTAATACAAAAATAGTTTATTACAAAATGTGTTTGATACAGTCTGCCAATAATAGCTTATTATTGCCGAAAAACTGGTTTAACAACAGAAATGGTGATACATCTTGAGCTAAAATGCTATGACTCTAATGAAGATAGCACTGAAATAAACTGCCATTTAAGTAAGCTACACCCAGAATGACAGAGACAAGTTATGCTAACAGAACCGCCATGTAACTGATTTATTGCAAAGAAGTACTCTGGCCTAAAACATAACAGGCTGCTTTTTAACATTGCCTAGGTATGTCTGAGTGAAATGAGAGCTCATTTGAGGACTTGTGAACAATATATAGAAAAATATGGACCTTTGCAAGAGCTTGGAGACACAGGAACAAGGTACAGCACTTTGATGGTGATGATGTGACAAACATAACTTTTAATATAATTTCATGCAAAGTTTGAAAATGTGGAATTTGTTTCCTTTTCCCAGGGGCTGATAAAAGCCATTTCTATTTTTTATCAAAATAGTTGTTGCAAAGCTACCAAACATCCGGATTTGGCCATGAAGCTTTAAAAGCCAGATGGCTTTAACAACCAACAGCAGCAAAAATCTGTTCTTGTTTCCCAAAAGTATTTTTTTTAAATTAGAATTACGTCTCAGAAAAGCTTTATAGCATCTCACTGTGGCATGAGGCAGTGCAGAGATGAGATAGTGTGCTCAGGCTATAAGCAGTCCATCTCTGGGCATAGCTGGCTGAGTGCAGAGCTCTGCCAGTAAGCAGAGCTGTAACATTGTGGCTGGGTGTTGGGGGCAGCTGCAACTCATGGGGGCTGCAGCAACTTCTTGCTGCCACCATGCTGCTGGCATGATCACATGGCTGCAGTGGCAGCTGATATTCTTCTGCTTCACACCCCCCAAGTCAATACCCAGGACCACTGTCCTAGTCATCCCACCATAGTCATGCTACTGGCAATAAATTCTACTGAGAGGCAGAGCTTAGGGGCCACAAGTAGCAGTGCACTAAGCTAGCTACACTCCACTAACTGGCCATGCTGCTTCCAGAACTGCAAGTAGCATAGGTGTCTTCCTGTTACACTGTGACTGCAGCAATACTGGCAGTGTATCAATAGGCCACTGACATAGCAATCAAAATGGTTGTCAAGTTTCTGAATACTGAAACCTGGTAACACATTTAGAAAGCAGTTCTTCTGATCAAATTTTAAACAGAGTGTGACAAATTGTGCAAATCTAAAATATTGTTACAATTTTTTATTTTTTTTAACAACAAAACATTTGAGAATCTGAATTTTTAAAACAAGGTCATTCAGGTAGTTTACATCCTCTTCTAGTATTTTGGTTTATACTAAGGGTGTTTATATCAAACTGCTGGTAACAGGCAAACTGGTATAATTGTGGTATCTTATACAGAAAACACCGACTGCTGCCAGTTCTTGCTATATGTATACATATATTTGGAATTTGAAAATCTGTCCGTAGTTTCTTTGCTGTTTTATTCCTCCTCTGTTAACCTATTTTGTGGCCTGTAGCAGTTAGTGAGGATAAAGACTAGGAGCAACTACTGATCTGAAAACTAGAAGTTTTAAGTGCCTTGAATACAACATCCCTTGACTTGTTGATGTCTAAATTCCTAAATCTATACATTTGTTCAGACTATTTTTAACCATAATAAAACACAGAAGCATATTTTCTTTTTCAGTGCCTAGAGATATCAGACTTATCATCCAGGATACAAACCCCCCAAAAACAAACCAAAAAAAGCCCACCAAAAGCTATGTTCATGCATCAAGTCAAAATGGCAGGGCCTGAACACTATGCAGTCTTGCTAATGTGAATGATGAGTACACACATAAGGCCTGGAGTCTCAGAGTGAAATAATAATTTTAAAAAAAATCAGGAAATATGAAAGTGAAGCCTTGTCTGTGCAATATAACTTAGCCATATTTCAAAGATGAAGCTGTCTCCCCATTGCTTTCTGCATCAGATTTTTTACACTGTGAATTTTTTGTCTAAGTTTACCTGACAGCATCCATAAGCACAAAGAAAGTATTTCCCATGCTGGGACTTAAAAATAGCTGGTGTGATTTTTTTTCATGCGCAAACGCAAGAAAAGGAAAACATGTAAAGTTTCTGAGTAGAATTTTATTCCAGAAATATCCAAGTGTGAAAACAAAACTAATAATAGAATTTATACATAATCATCAGGTTTGGTCTATACTTTAAATTTTTGCTGGCATAGGTACGTCACTTACAAGTGCAGAGGAGAAAAAAATCCTATCCCTAGCCAAAACAAAATCCTATCCCTAACCAAAATCCTACCCCTAACTGGGGTGCTCCTGGTTTCATAGTTTCATAGTTTCTAGGGTCAGAAGGGACCAGAGTAGATCATCTAGTCCGACCCCCTGCCATGGCAGGAAAGAGTACTGGGGTCAAACAACCCCAGCAAGGTGTTCATCTAACCTCCTCTTAAAGACCCCCAGGGTAGGAGCCTGCACCACTTCTCTTGGAAGTTGGTTCCAGATCCTAGCCGCTCTGACAGTGAAGTAGAATAATTGGTGACTACCAATTACCTCTCATCAGCAATCCCACCTTCTCACACCCCCAACTTACAGATCTAGGCTGGAAGAATTGTGTAGTATGTGTCTTCCCTCCAAATTCTAAATACAACTGCCTTCAATATTCACTATATTGACAGCTAATAGCTGTGGACCCGAGTCCTGAGTGGCTCAGGAGCCACGAGAACAGGCAGTGTTAACTAAAGAACTACACTAATACAAACACCCCAAGGTGGATTGTGGTGTTATATCCTTGTTGGTTAACCTGTAATAATGCAGGAACTGTTTGCATCCCTCCTGGGGAATGAAATATTTATATCATCATTAATAGAGATAGATAGCACATGTGTTGCATTATTCATGACTTCAGGAAAGACATATTAATGTCTACAGTACAAAAACAAAACAAAACAAAATGTGATCTCTGATAACATTTTCTACAAACAACTACACTAGTAAGTTAAAAAGTCACTTTTTAATGAAAGCCATGGTCCAAGTATAACTGGTGTAGATGTTGTAATTGAAAAGAGTCATTCCAAGACAAACAGGGAAGAGTTGGTGGGGAATGTAGAATTGGATGGCAATTTGGACAGCAGCAACCATGAGATGACTGAGTTTAGGATCCTGAGGAAAGGAAGGAAGTAGAGCACCAGAGTAAAGCCCCCAGACTTCAGAAAAGCAGACTTCAATTCACTCAGGGAACTCATGGGCAGGATCCCCTGGGAGGCTAGTCTGAGGGGGGGAAGGAGTCCAGGAGAGCTGGCTGTACTTTAAAGAAGCCTTACTGAGGGCACAGGAATGAACCATCTGAATGAACCATCCCGACGTGCAGGAAAACTAACAAATATGGCAGAAGACCAGCTTGGCTTAGCAGGGAACTCTTCAATGAGCTAAAACACATAAAGGAAGTTTAGAAGAAGTAGAAACTTGGAAAAACTACTAGTGAGGAGTATAGGAGTATTGTTCAGGCATGCAGGGATGAAATCAGGAAAGCCCAAGTGCAATTGGAGTTGCAGGTAGTAAGGGATGTGAAGGGTAACCAGAAGGGTTCCCACAAGTGTGTAAACAGCAAGAGGAAAATTTAGGAAAGTGTGGGTCTCTAACTGAATGGGGGAGGTAACCTAGTGACAGAGGATGCAGAAAAGGCTGAAGTACTCAAAGCTTTTTTTACCTCAGTCTTCACAGGCAAGGTCAGCTACCAGGCTACTGTACCTGGCAGCACAGTTTGGGAGGGGGGAGGTAAGCAGCTAATAGTAGCAAAAGAACAGGTTAGGAACTATTTTAAAAAGCTGGACACGTGGAAATCCATGGGACCAGACGATTCACCCAAGGGTGCTGAGGGAGCTGACCAATGCGATTGCAGAGCTGCTGGCCATTATCTTTGAAAACTTGTGGTGATTAGGGGAAGTCCCAGATGATTGGAAAAGGGCAAATATAGTGCCCACCATAAAGAAAGGGAAGAAGGAAGAACTACAGGAACTGCAGCCTCACCTCACCCTGAAAAAAGTCATGGAGCAGGTCGTCAAGGAATTAATTTCTAATTACTTGGAGGAGAAGGAGATTAGGAACTGTCAGCATGGATTCACCAAGGGCAAGTCATGCCTGACCAGCCTGATTGACTTTTCTGATGACATGACTGGCTGTGTGGATGTAGGGGGAGCAGAAGGCATGATATATACCTTGACTTCAGCAAAGCTTTTGATACGATCTTCCACAACATTCTCACAAGAAAGCTAAGGAAGATGAATGGACTGTAAGGTAGATTAAAAAAAAACTGGCTGATTGTCAGGCTTTGAGGATAGTAATCAATGGCCTGATGTCTAGATGGCAGCCAGCATCAAGTGGGATGCACCAGGGGTTGGTTCTGGAGCCAGTTTTGTTCAATATCTTCATCAATAATCTGGAACTTACTATAGATGCACCCATATATCGGTCCTATATTTGATCAGCACTGATATAGGGAAAATTGACAGCATCGAAAAATTGGCTTTTTTTGCCTGATGTGGCCAATAAATGCCCTGTGCACGTGCATAGCCACAGCATGCATGCAGACAGGGGCGCCCAGTGGCTTGGAGAGCAGTTTTGGGGTGGTAAGTCTGGTGTGGTGGAAGGGAAGGTGTGGAGGGGGGGCAGACTGCAGT